TTTAGAAAAAATGTTTTCTTTATTTTGACATATTTTGGTAAATTCTGAACTTTTTTCAAAGCAAACTTACTGCTTTAACTGCATAGAGGCAAAATGTCAAAGCGCCTAAGCGCCGCATCGCCGACTAACAAATAAACATTGGTGCGAAACCCGTAAAAATGCAAACAAAATTCATATTTATTGTTAAAATCTCTATAAAATAATTGATAATGACTGATAATTTGATGTGCATATGTCTAATGATCATTTTTGACCGCCAAATGGCATTTTTTCTTTACTTTTTTCATTAGATCTTCGAAACCGCTAGACCTGCCTTTATGAAAATTTGATCAATTCTTCCGTTACAGTTTTTGGCACTTTTTGCCCCATATCTTCGGAACGGCTAGACCTGCTTTCGCCAAAAACTAATCAGCTTCTCTCCTTATCAATATGAATCCAATGTTTTTTGAATTATATTTAAATCGGTTGATCGGTGCTCCCGAAATCGTCGACGAAAATTTGTATCCGCACACACCCACACACACATACATCCATTTTTTCTAAGGTATGCCAAAATGTTCAGGAACCTTTGAAACGTAAAGATATATAAAAAAATTTATTTTCGATTGTTTTGCGATTGCTATAACTTGCCCTACGGAAGTTAATAATTAACTATTTGTCTAATTACTTATCAAATTATACTGCACTTATATAATAATTATATTTTTGAGAAAGCAATGTGTAATCAAAATGATTTATTACCATTACCAAGACGTTGCTATTGCGACATCAAACGCGTATGCGAATTTAACTATTAATTAATTCTGCAAATATCAATCAACAGAGTAAACTATTATTCTGCCTGTAATATAATTTACACACAATTAATTTCTACTCCACCATTTCTCTGTATACAAATTGGAAATTACTTACCTGTCTAGTACAGATATTGTCAACCTTTTGAAAAGGATTACTGAAATAAGAAAAACTTAAAAAAGTAACAACGAATGAAACAATACTTGTTCTTTGGACACTGTGAAAGGTCGACAAAACTATCTGGAGTGTTAAGAAATATTATACTAGAGAAGACAAACAAGATGAAGTGCTGAGAAAAGTGGTCAAATAAAGGACCCTTACATGAAAAGGAAAGGTTCCGGATCTGACCGACTCTGCACAAAAGTCTAATTCCTACACGACATCGTCGAAGATAAAGTAGGAGTGAAAGTATTGGAAAGAAGAAGAATGCAAATGATTGGTGACCTACGCAGACGAGAGAAAATAAATGTAACTGATAGCTAAATTGCAGGACCAGAAAACGTGAAGACAGAAGTTTTGGAAAGGATCATTGGTAATAAGAATAATAAACAATGGATGAAAAGAAAATCATAAATTTGTAGTGTTCCCATACTATAGACCTACTTTCAGGCAGATTACCATTCATTATTTTATACTTTGTTTATATTTTGCTAAGAAAATTGGTGTCAAGTGCGTCCAAATCATAATCACCAAATGTCTACTTACCAACCCCTATTTTTGTTCATGCCAGTGCCAGTATGGCAGTGCCTGTCTCTTATTCGTCGTTCGTGTCTGCAAGTAAAATCAATAATATTTAAGAAGACATTTCGCCATTTGCGGCCGAAAAGAAATGCAGATGGAGAAAATGCAGATTAAAATCTTTATTACATCAAATATTAAATATCATTTATTTTTTGGAAATATGATAAAATATTATTTTTTAAGTTTCTGATGTCGTCTATTTTTTCTAAGAAAAGTTACTTTGGGGAAAAAAAATTGATTTGCTAATTTTATGGTCACTCTGAATCGAATGAGACCAAGTTTGGAAAAATTATGTCTGCATGTAATTTTAGACATTTCGTTGTCATTTTCTCAAAAACAGCTGTAACGATTTCAAACATTTAAAAACCATTCGATATAACTCTTAGGATTAGCATTTATCCGTTTTGGCTAAAAGTTTTTGGGTAAAATATTTCTACCGCGTCTAAGTCCACAAACTTGAATCAAATTCGAAAAATCAAAAATGGTTTAAAAAATCATGATTGGGTATCCTGCTCATTAGTTTTTGGTAAAGATCGGCCAGGCTGTGTATTCGTAAATAAATGTTCGATTTTTTTCTTTGACGATTTTGGTGAAACTTTGTTTATCGCAACACGTGCAAATATTCCAGACATATTAAAAATTGAGAATATATTTAGTTTTTCTTAAATAGCCAAATCACTGTTTTACGAGTATTCTCTTCAGTACACAAAATTTTGTCATTTTTCCAAGACGGGTATACTCGTGAATCACACTTAATTGCTTCAAATGGTGCATATAAAATTTTGAAATTTTTGAAGAACTAATGTGGTACAAATTGTACAATAATAATTTAAATATGAATGATGGTAATTGGTCAAAAATTAATAAATTAATGAAAAATGCGTTAATAATATATCAAAATCTTGAAACTTTAAATGTGCCAATTCAATTTAAATAGAATCAGTTTCAGATCAGGTTGGCTCTTGCAAAGACTAATTAGAGAAAGAAGATTTGCTTGGTCTTCTAATTCTTCTATGTTATTTTACGATATTTTTTTCTTATTTCTTCATTCATATGACCCAGATTCATTTATATGTGGCGTGCTGTGCAGTGGGTAAACTATTCATAAATCTTTTGTTAACTGTTTCTTATACTTAGGGGGCATCCATTAACAAAAAATCACAATATCACGTAAGGGAGGGAGTGTAGCAAGATATCATGTGTGATTATTTTTCACCTGATTTAAAAAAAAATCAAAGATTTTCAAAAAAATCTGAAATTCCACTATTTTTTCTCGTCCAAAAATCCTTTAAAAATCGATCACGTGATTAATGAACGTCCCCTTATATGCCACTCTCGCAATTGTCCCCTTATATATGCCACTCTTGTAATGTTAGTTATTTTTATACTAAATATTTTATACTAGAAATATTTTCTATGGCAAATCCACGATTGTCGAGTCAAATTGTATATATATACTAGTATATATATATATATATATATATATATATATGTATATACATTTATTATCACAATTATATTCATATTTTCCCAATTTTTCCACCGTGTCAAATTGATGAAGCATAAACAAAAACTCGAACAATTCTCTCAAACGCGATGGACCGAAAAGTGTTTTAGCGAGCAGAGGAAGCGAAAAAAAATAAAGAAAACAAAGATGAGCTATGAAAGGAGATGATAAATCGTTGCTCCCTTAAAAGCTTAAGACTCAACACCACCATACCATCATACCACCATACTACCCTCACCAGTTCTCCATCTCTTCCCTTGCGAAAAGATCAAATCCGACGACCTTGAGTGGAGAAAAAATGGGCGAAGGGATGATATCAAGGTGGGATGTTGATTTTTGTTCGGGGTGGTCCGGAAGCACGACTCTTTGGATGTCATTTGATATGGGATAATAGATCGAGCAATTGATACGAGATGTGTAGTTGATGTAGCATTTTCTCTTAGGACAAGTTACAAGATACGCAATGCTATTTGATATTACCAGGTAACTGTGCCAAATCTTGTCATTATATACATTGAGATTTTTACCTTTTTCACACTTCCATAAACCACTTTTTTACATCCCATTCTATCTTTTCGAAAACAATTTCCCACTTCGCATAAAATATTCCTCGCGGTTTCATCTCGCGGTCGATATGCAAATTAATCTTTCGCTCGGCCGGGCATAAAATCAGTCTCCGAAAAACGAGACAAAAAATACGAGATTCACTAAAGTGCGAAAGAGAGGGAGCAAGAGTTTTCTTGTCTCTGGAGAGGATAAGAAAGATTGCTGGGTAATCAAATAATCAAATGTCATTAGAAAATGAAACAGAGGCAGGAATGGAATTAGAAAAGTAAAGAATTTAGGAGATACGGAGATTTTTGAAGACAAACAATGAAGGAGAGTGGTAATTAATGGTGGTTTTGATTAGGGATCGAAAAATGAGAAGTCCAATATATGCGATGCAATAGCAGAGGTTTTGTTGATGTTATTGATGTTTAGGGTAGTTATAGTAATAGGCCGAAAATAAAAAATAAAAGTTTTTGCAAATGTCTTTACGTTTCAGAGATTTCTGAACATTTTGGCATACCTCTTGGCGTGTGTGTTTTGTGTGTCCGAATTTTTCGTTTACGTTTTCGGGCGCACGGATCAACCGATTTGAATGATTCAAAAAACATCCGATTCCTATTGATATGAAATTTTTCGATCAGTAAAATGGTTATTATAAAATTGAGATTTGTGAAAGAAGGGTAAAAATTTAGAGTAGTATGCATTTTGTAAATGTAAATTATAAATATTAAAATTTAAAAAAAAATGATTCCAAAATTTCAAAAGAATTCAAAATTCAAATAAAGATTAATTTTAAACAATAGGTTTTATGTGTTCTTAAATTCCAAATTTGAAATATTAAATTACAGAAAATTGACCCCAAACCTAATGGTTGAACAACACTTGATAAAAATAAAGTGTTTTTTAAAGTAAGAATTAAACTTTTACTTCGAGCGCAAAAATCTGGCCTGAAATTATGTCAAAAATATCCAATGACTAAACGAAGAATAAAAAGTGATTAAATTACTAAAATGGCTATAAAAATAGGTGTTGGTGTAAAAAAGTAAAAATGTTGGGTTGTATGTATTTTTAGTGCTACATTAGAAAACAGAAAAATTTCTCCAAAAATTAGAAAAAAAAATTAAGTGTTAACTACCCTTAGCACATAGGGGTATAAAAAATATAAGATAGAAACCGATTCTAAGACTTACTGAATACGACTATAATTTGTAAAAATCGGTAAAGCCGTTTCGGAAAAGTATGAAGACATATTTACATACAGATTTTATATCTAACATAAGATATAATACATATGTCACCTATATTCATCCAAGACATTCAAAAATCCATTTATCTTAAATTAATAAATTGATTATATTAGTAAAATCAGTTACTTGATTTTAAAAATATTCATATCTTTTCTTTTCAGGAACTTATTTCATCCTATACGACTTCATTGATTATTTTGAGAAAGATGGTCCAAGTATTTTGCAAAGGGACAAATTTTTGGAGATCATGTCTACGATATTTGTTAAGGCGAGTCCTGCAGAGAGACAGGCGATAGATTTTCAGGTAATAAATAAATAAATATTACAAATTACCTAATAGTGAATCCCCTAAAAATTCCTTTTTTATGAGAAATAATAATTTTGTAAATATCAATTGATTTCTATCAGGTGGTCAGTAGTTACTTTTTGACCAACTGGTAATAATCAGTAGTTATTAAATAATCAATTATTGAATTCTTTAACATTAGGAAAATTATCAAAAAATTCCTAACTAATTGTGGATCCTTTGATTATGGCAATTTGAAAAAAAGGGTACTTTGAGGAACTAGTGCTCCATCTTCAAAAAATTTAAAATTATCATAAGCACCATTTTAGGCATTTCCAAATTTGTTTTTTTAGAGTATTTATTTATTTTGCATTTGTATAATTATTAATTTTTATCATTTTCAGTACACCGATTGGGAAAATCCAACAGATGGTTCCTTAAACCAAGACCAAGTTGGTCGAGCAGTAGGCGACCACTTTTTTGTGTGTCCTTCCAATTTGTTTGCTGAAGGATTGGCCGAACGGGGTGCCAATGTGCGGTACTACTACTTTACACATGTAAGTAATTTTAAAAATCTACTAAAAAAAATTTAAAAAAGCATAAACAACCATGAGAGCCCTCTAATTTATTTATTAGAAAATTTTATCACGTTGGCCTTTCCGTCAATTACAGTTATGAAATAGCAGGTAGTGATAATTTTAGCAGTGACATTATCCATCTCTAAAGATAGTTTTATCAGTAATCAAATATCTGGTTCGTTCGCGTTTAAATTCGAAGTTATTCGAGTTGGAAGAGTTTGCGAGAAATTCGCGAATAGATTTAGCAAAGTTTCCTTTTGGGAAAGTTATGACAGATAATTCATGTCGCTGCTGATTAAATATTCTGATAAATTTCAACACGACATAGGAATAGGATTTATGTATATATATATATATATATATATATATATATATATATATATATATATAATATATACATCAAGAATTCTATTGCCATGTTAAATTCAACACAATTAATTTCCCATATATATATTTCTTGGATTTTTTTTTTGTTTTCGAACTTGCTCGTCAGTATAGTCTAATTTTGATATTATTGCTTGCTGGTCAAATCTTTTGCAAAAATATCAGTAGAGTTAATTTTTTATATTTTTACTCATAATTATTGATTTTCATGTCTAGATTCAACTTGCTTGTAAGAAAAGTCCTTTTAGCTTTCTATTGACAATCCTATTTTATCACTACTTTTATAATAAATTTTATTAGTATAATATTTGTTGTCTTGTGCCCAGATTCACTTCACTTGTCAGTAGAGACCCATTATTATTTTGTGTGTTATTTTTAGTCAATGAGTGATAATAAGTAGTCTTTAAGTAAAATCCTTGTTTTCTTCTTATGTCATGAATAAGTTTGCATACTAATAGAATTAAATTTTTATTTTCTGTGTAAGAATTAGTTGGTCAGCAAAGTTTTATGTTATTGTAAATTATTTAATTTGCTTATTAATGAAATTCCTTTTTGTTTTTGTTTTCAAAATCAAAAAATCGAAAATAAAAATGTTTATATATCTTGACGATTTAAAGGTTTCTGAACGTTCTGGCACACCTTAGAAAAAATAGATGAATGTGTGTGTGTACCATTTGGCATTCAAAAGTATTCTTTAGTCATATGAACATCAAATTATCAGATGCTTTATATAGATTTTAGTAAGTACAAATTTAGTTTACATTTTTATGGGTTTCGTACCAATGCTTATCCGTTTGACTGCGACACGGCGCTTACGCGCTTCTTATACTGCTTTTGCTAAGACCATAAATGAATTACAATTACAGTAGGGGATAGGATATTAAATAATTTCGAACTTTTGTAATATAGACGTCGGTGCAGGACAACGACTGTCGGGTCATCTAGTATATATATATATATATATATATATTAGGTTGTCAAATATCTCCCTTCCGCTTTTTTGCTATTGGTTTATAATACAAAAAGGCGGAAGGGAGATATTTGACAACCTTATATATATATATATATATATATATATATATATATATTCAATAGATAAGTCCTGGATTTTTTCAATATATTGATTGTTTCTTTTCCGAACAGTAAATCCAATAATAAAAAACAATTTGTTTTTTGAAGATGTTTAATACGACGTTTCGGAACTAGGTACGTTCCATCATCAGGTTTATTCTGTAATAATTTATATATCCATATCACTAATATTTTTTTGTTAAAAACACTCGATTTTTTTGGAAGATATTTGTAGATGTTACGACTACACAAGACTTAAACACACTGATATGGATTTCTGTCAGACAGAAATCCATATCAGTGTGTTTAAGTCTTGTGTAGTCGTAACATCTACGAATATCTTCCAAAAAAATCGAGTGTTTTTAACAAAAAAATATTAGTGATATGGATATATAAATTATTACAGAATAAACCTGATGATGGAACGTACCTAGTTCCGAAACGTCGTATTAAACATCTTCAAAAAACAAATTGTTTTTTATTATTGGATTTACTGTTCGGAAAAGAAACAATCAATATATATATATATATATATATATATATATATATATACATATATATATATATACATATATATATATATATATATATATATATATATCTAGCAAAATGTTCCGACAATCGTTGCCAGTCACGCAACCCAATTTGAAATCATGCACCCCATGCCAAGTTAGTTTCCATCTCTAATTGTGACTATTAAATTAAATTGGCAACTCCTGCTACTGCGATTTCAGGCAGCAAATTCAGAGCTGCTGTGAACATCTGTGATTGAAATATGAAACTTTTGATTTAATTTCAGAATCCCAAATTAATTCCAACATATGTAAAAGACAGAACTACTTACTACTTACATCCATTAAAGTAGTAAATAAATTTCCTTTACCTTTACCCCAGTTTCAATTTACGTTCGCCAAAAAAACAAACTGTATCAGTATCTGCCTCTTGCCATATCGTTATTGACCCGAGCGAACTTTCTCGTACGAGATAAAATTCACAAAGCTCAAAGCTCAAAGCTCTCGATGAAGTTCTCGCATGGGATGTCTTCGTCCGCCTGTCCGCCTGTCCGCCCGCAAGTTGGCGAAATTCGATTGGGAAAGAAGAAGATTCCTGCGGGTTTCTTCTTTCTTACTACTCTATTACTGGGAAAGGTCAGAAGGGATTGCTAGAGAAAAAGTTGGTATAGGGGAGGATCGGGTCAATGGGGATGGAAATTGATAAACATGAAACAAATAGTAACTTGAGGAAAATTGCTGGAACTTCTATTACCGTAATGAAATATTCGACAACTTTTAAATATTTTCAAATAGATTATTTTAAATACTTTAACTTTCATTATTCATATTTTATAGACAAAATATAAGAGTTCATTGCCAATATAGCAACATTCAGCATTTAGCAAAAATTTAAGATCTTTTTAGTTTTCTTTATTATCGATATTTATTTCAAGCGTTAGAATAAATAACACCTTAACTCTCATTCTATTTACTTTGTTGGATAATTGAAAGTAAAACAGAACATTGATTAACTTAGGCATTAAGACCTGTTCAAACACTTCTGTTCTTTGTTGAAACATTGATAAAGTTATCAAAGAGTTATCATTACATTCCATCATTAATTATTCCCTATAATAAAGTGCTCATGCTTAAATAAATATTGAAAATTAAGGGATTACTATACTCTATAATTCTATCATATGAACATGAAATGAGAGTTGGCAGTAAAATCTAATACATTAGGTTTTGGGAAAAACCTAATTTTAATAGTTCTAATCTTAACTCTTTTATTAAATTTATTATATTAGTATTCTAAATAAATTATTCTAGATATTTCATGATAATTATTTCATATCTATTGATAATTTTGCTATTTTAGCAAATCTATAATTCTATAAATTCCCAAAAACTCGTTTTTTTTTTCAAATTATGATATGTATGAAATTGGTGATGTAGTAATTACAATTCTTATTCTAGTAACTGCAAATTTATAATTTTTGTCATTTCTCTCTCAAAATTTTATGGCATTATTTACAAACTAGTTGGTATTGGTATTTTGCCTTGAGGCAAGTTACATGAACTTCCCTATTTGTGTAAATAATCGACTTAATCCATGATAGATAAACTAATTTGAGTAGTTAAAACTATTCGAAGTGGATTTATTACACATTATTGAAAATCGAACACGTCAACCCGGTCGGAGCATTTTTTAAAAGCAAATTTTCAAAAATCGATAATTTTTATAATTGGGCCAGTTTTTTGTAGAACTTTAATTGTTTAGTATGTTTATTTAGACCAAGTTCTTTGTCGTTATACCAGGTAAATCATCTAATTTTAATTTTAATAAATGTCAAAAGAACTACTTATTTTATCAAACTTTGATGGATTTTTAAAATTAAACTACTTGTCGTAAGACCATAATATTTCAGTAATTTCTATAAAACAATGCTATACATCACCAAAAAAAGTTCTATAAAATCGGTTTAAATTTTTTTTCAACAGTTAATTACAAAAAAACGGCTCGGTAGATTTTCACCTAAATCTAATCAGTATCATTCCCAACTAATATCTTTCGAACAGTTTTTGATTTTTTAAAATCTATTCGGTAGTATGAGCTTAAATGTGGACGAAAAGATTAACACTTTTTTCCAGATTTTGAAGAAATGACTTGGCCGATTATCGCACAAAACTGAGAAACGAAGTCCTTATCAAGATACATGGAATGGCCTTTAAAATTTTGAAATCGACCCAGCCGATTTTGATAAAAATTTACGTCGGTTTAAGGTGAAAAATCTATTCACACAAACACACACACATACTTTTTTCAAATTTGGTCTCATTTGATTCAGAATGTCTTGAAACGTCAAGAAAACATAAAATTAGCGAATCGGATTTTTTGATGAAAACATAAACTTCTTCGAGAAGTTAATAATGAATGTGTCAAATTGTACGTGATTCGGTTGTTTATTAATAAAAATGAGAAGTTTTATAAAAGTGAGATGATAAATACTGCTTGGAAAATGTCAAAAAGCCAGTGATCAAAATGGACAATACGTTACAGATTAAATTTTTTTAATTTTGTGAAAAATGATGAAATCTTTGATTTTCTATCAAAAATACGCACTTACTTAATTGCCAACTTAATTTAGTTCTAGAGATTATATCAGGTTGATTAACATTCTTAGATTCGAATAATTTTATTAACTTCATGGTATCAACATACTACGGATGTCATTTTATTGAAAATTCTATTCTTTGTGTTTCTTTTATTATATTTATATAATTGTTCATTACTGTTACTAGATGTTAATTATTTAGCAGTTGTAAGAAATATAGTTGTGGGGATCAAGCAGGCTAGTGAAGATGATTGTAAAAAAAACAATTGGACTTGTCATTTTATATTTTTTATATCAGTAATATTTTATAATAAAATAATTTTTATATATTTTTATACGTTGGGAGTTTATACTTTTATTATACATTACAATTCCCACATAGTAATTAAAAAAAATCACCATGGTATTGTTATTA